TAATGGCTTAGGGACAACTCTGAATGTCCTAGAGTGGTCCAGTCAAAGCCCTGACTTGAACCCTATTGAACATCTCTGGAGAGTCCTGAAAATGGCTGTCCACCGACGGTCCCCATCCAACCCCATTGAGCTTGATAGTATTTGCAAAGAATGGCAGAAAATCCCCCAATCCAGGTGTGCAAAGCTTGTCATGTCATGACAAGAAAAAGACTCGAGACTGTAATTGCTGCCAACAGTGCTTCAACAAAGTACTGAGTAAAGGGTCTGAATACTTACACCAATGTGATATTTCAGTTTTTCCTTTTTAATAAATTTACAGACATTTCAAAAATTCTGTTTTCACTTCTAGGCCAGTCCCTTAACCATTACATAAATGAATTTATTCATTTAAGTGAGCTGAACGTGTGAAACTTCCTATTCTCTGTCTTTTCAAATTAAGGTGCAGAAAAACTGATTTATTTAGCAATAACATAAGGCGATCATGACATACAGAGGTAGGATCAATGTTATTTGTGGGCTTCACAACTGAAGTAATGCATGTGACCATCAAAAGATTCTTGGACCATCAGGTTCAAAAATTTCTTAGGTGAACTACTGTCTCCATGCTGTTCCCAAAAGGATAACATTCTTTGCCTATTGCAGCAAAAATAAGTCTGGCAGCACCTTAAGAACCAATAAATTTGTTGAAATAGTTCATTTAATCAGATACAGGCACACCATTAGAGCAGTGAAGCACTCTGGAATATGTGGGTTCATGCAATACCATCTGCAACTGGTCAAAGCAGCAGCAGCTTTTCCTGAGATCATGTACAGGAAAAGATGTAGGTACCTCAAAGGAACTGAAGACAGAGACTGCATTTGCACCCCTGAAAGTTCTGAAGCTCACTTGAATATTTATCTCGCTAAAGCAGGATGCATACAAGCATTGCTCTAAATATTACATGTTTTATTTCATATATCTAAAATATATACAATGAGTAAGAAAAGCCTCAACAAATAGTGAAATGATCATCTCAGTTTCTCATACTCAGCATTTTGTATTGAAGTCTGATTTCAACAGCACACCCCTTGACTACACACCACTCCACTTCTAGCAAGCTGCATCTTTTTCTCCTGCAGAGAGTATATACAAACCAAAGGCCAAGAATGGTTGACAAGCCAGTGGCAAATAAATGGAGCTACATGGATAGCAGAAAACAATACCTCAGAGTATAACACAACATTGAGCTTATCAGATTCAGCTTTATTGGTCTGACATTAGAATTCTCACATGTTAGAATTATAGTCCAAAACCGTGATAAGCCACACTGTTCAATAAAAAAGTAAAAAGGAGGTGCAGGAAGGCTTCTGGAACCTGAAATGGAGGGGAAAAAAAACCACAAGTGGATTATACTATTTCTTTAAAATGTACAGTCCCTTACAACTTTCCATGTTGCTATCTAAAGCAAGACAAATAACATGACATCAAAAGCTCAGAAGTCAGGTATTAATAAATACTCCAGATACCAATATGTGATGTTTCTATTGTGAATGGGTGACCTTGTAACTTATACTTCCCATTCCTCCTTTTTTGAAATTAGGTCTATTCAGTCTATGACTCAACAGCTCAGGACATACAAATTGTGCAAGGAGACCACATGAATTTTTGGTTTAGAAGAGTATACTATTTGCCTGAATAATAACATAGTAATAAAGCTGCTGTCATAAAGTTGGAATGGGCCACTAAACTCTTGAGCAACCCTCTGCTGTGCAGGAATCCAAGTTAAAGCATCCAAGACAGATGGCTATCTAGCCTCCACTTTAAACACATTCAATGAACCCACTACCTCTCAGCATAATTGGCAGCAGTGTATAGTTGTTGCGACTGCAAATAAACAGGCTTGGCTTTTCAGAATCTGAACAAGTGCATGCAATTTGTAGGAAACTAAACCAGAAGTTTAGCAATTTACAGGCCAAGGGAATTTCAACTCAAGCAACCCAGAGGACGGTCATGTGGAAAGGGGGACACAATAAAACTTATGCTGTTATGTTGGATGCTGTGAGAAAAAAAAATTAAGCAACATGGTTTCCTTCTTCCTCTCAACAATCCAGCCTCAGATTATTAGTTTCCTATTCCCATCAGACATGGGAAACCAGCAATTGGTTGAAATTTGCTGGTGGAAAATGTGAAGGCTCAATTCCATAGGGCTCAATTCTAGAAACCAACAGTTGCAAGCCATTGACCACATCTGATCTATCTTACTAGAATACTACCAACCATGTATGCAGTCATGTTTAAATATAACATGTAGTGCTTCCTATGGCAGGTGAGGTCACAACTCCCATCAGAGGAAGCTTCTGTATTTAATCACATGCCTATCTGGCAACTGCTCATACAGATAGAAGTCTACACACAGAAATAGCACAATTACCACAGAAATGTAACCAATGGTTTGATGCTACAGGGAAGTAAATTTAGGTTAGATATCTGGAGGAGGTTTCTGATGGTAAGAGCTGTCGGTGAAATAGGCTGCCTCAGGAAGAGGTATACTATATTCCCCTTCACTGAAAGAGAGTCCTGATAGCTATCTTCCAAATGGTTTACCAGATCCTACACTGAGCTGCCTTTGAACTCTGATTCTATGCAATATCGATCAACTGTACATCCTTTTCAGTAAAGCTAATTCTTTTGTAATATGCTGGTTTCTTTAATTCTAATTTTTTTAGCATTTTTAAAACTTATTTTTGTATAGTAACGTAATTGTGGAATAAGTGGATATTTCTAAAGAGCTGTATATTGTTTCTAATGGCTGCCTCTAAAAAGTATACATACCAGCTCTTATGTTAAAAGTTTAACAGCATTCATTGCTTTTGTTTTATTTTAAAATGTAAACCAGTTGGAAAGAATGTATGTTATTAGGTTGTCTTTGAATACTTTCAAGTTTTCTTATAAAGTTAATTAGAAATTTAATATTCTCATACTAACAGTGCGAGCGTCACACATCTATTCAAAATTAAGTCTTTTTGAATATTCATGTGACCATGACTAGATAAAAAGTACAGGACTGTACTTGGGACTTACTTTTGAATGCTGAACATTTTCTAATTTGTCCGTTATTTCAGTTCATCTTAGTCTGCTGGAACATGCTTAGCATTATTTATACTGCATCTCTAAATATGCTTTTTTAAAGTTTCATTTGACTTTGTTCTATACACTTATTAAACAGAATCTAATTAACAGAAGGCATTCTGGACATTTTCCAGTTCAAAATAGTCCAGAAATTTCCAATATAGGATCTAACATGTCTTACCTGAAATAATTCCTAGCTTACTGTCACACATAGATTCCAACCCACAGCAATAAGAAGAGTACTCCAAAGCCCATGAAGAGTGATGCTACTAGAGAGATGAGCAGTTCTTTGTAAATATCCCGGGTGTACTTGGTGGATGTCACTTCATAGCTGAGATAGTAATTAAAGATGTAACTAGACAGATTTATAGAAATCTTGGTAATGCATATTGGAAAAAACACACTTTTACCCTGTGTATAATAGAACAGTGTTTCTCAACCTTGGCAACTTTAAGGTGAGTGGACTTCAACTCCCAGAATTCCCCAGCCACCACTCCCAGAATTCTGGGAGTTTGTATTTCAAATTTGTCACTGCCCATCTCACTGCAGAGCAACTTCACTGCAGAGTTGAGGTCCACTCATCTTAAGTTGCCAAGGTTGAGAAACACTGTAATAGACTGACAATTGACTGTACAGAACACCTACTTTTAACCTAGCAGATAACATAGAAATTAACCAGACAAACCTTTTTCTTGCCAAAAAAAAAGATTAACTAATTAACCACTTTGCTAATTAACCACTTTCTTCAGACTTAAGTTAAACAGAATGGAAGGAATTGAAGGAACAGAAGCAGGTTAGCAACTGTCCTCAGCATCAATTATTATTATTGTAGCCATAAAATTCTGTAACTAAATCAAAAGTTAAATGATATTGTTGCTAGAAATCTTGACATACCCATACTGTCTCTCATGCATAAGCATTTGTTAAAATTCAAGGGTTTTCTTAATCAAAATTTCACAAATTCTCATCATCCAAGTTTAAATGTATGTTAAATTTCTTAGTTAAGACTTTTTGGACTTCTCAGAACTGCTTTCCAACCCTTGAGAAAATCACATTTTTAATGGCAATGATTCATAATAATGCTTGTAATGCAATTTTAAACTGAGTATGGGGCACAAATCTTGAATGTAATATTTGTTTCTAACTATATGATAGAATTTTTTTGTCTTTGAGTTTTGGCAGTTGAGTATCTCAATTCCTGATATAAAAGCATGTTAAGATGCCCCAGAATATTTAAGTTCAGCAAAAGTAGTAGTTGTTAAACATAATGCTTAATGTATGTTAAGCATAAAATTTCTGCTGGTTAAAAGAACAGGAAAAGATGTGACCTCCATTTGTGAGATCTTCATATTGTTCATCCAGGTGTTTTCTGGCAAACCTGAAATTCCCATGAATTTCATTTTTATCTAAGTGCTTTTCTGATGATGGAATCATGATCACCGACTTCAGCCAAGATGAGAGAGCCCTCTGAATCTTGGTGTATAGTTAAGAGTTGTGACTTCCTGAGTGATTTTATGCTGTACCTTGAAGATATTTTGCAGGATACCTTCTCTTGTGAAAATTAATTATCTCAAACCTTCTTCATTCCGGCTCTGTCAGTTGATGAAAATCCAGGGTTAGAATTTTGAGTGGAGCATGACATGCCTCTAGAATCTACAGTGGAAGTTCATTATAATGATGGAAACCAAAGTATGTGAAAATTATATAGGGCAAAACTGCCTGAATCAGCACTTACTGTTTAATAAAGTATTTAAACAACAGATCTTAATTATCCCTTTAACTGATTTGACTGAACTAGGGAGCTGATACCTTTTTCACACTGGTATATCACACGTTGGATAACTCTGTTGATGAAATATATAAAAGAAGCACTAAACTGCAGCGATTTGTTCATATTCCCTTTATATATCACTACAACCAACAAGCAGATCTCATAATACTCAGTAGCAAAATATACAAAACGAGCAGTGCAACCCTGATAGCCTTGCTAAGGGTTTTTTTTTTTACTGTATTTGTCAAGAACAAAAATCTAGGGTAAGTATTAAGATTCCTACAGTAAGCAGTGAGGTTAAATAAAGGTATGGTGCTCTCTAAAGGACTGACAACCACCTTATGTATTTGCAAGTAACAGAAATATATCTGCAATACTAAGGATACACAAAGAACCAAGCTGTGAAGAACATGCCAATGGCCAGGAGCACCACAGTGAGATGTGGAAACACAGCCGGATTCACCGGACTAGTGTATCTGCTCATTGTCTCAAGCTCCTGAAATGAAGAAAAAAAGGGGGGGGGGAGGGGAGAGAAGAAAGAATATAAGACTGTGAAGATTTAAGTACTCTTTTTTAATATGTATCTCAGACAAGAGAACTGCAGCAGGAGCAAAGGAGCTATTTCCCCCTCCCTCCCACGGATGCTGAGAAGAACGGGTGCAACAGTTTGGTGTAGTGGTGAAGGTGCTGGCCTAGAAACCAGGAGACTCTGAGTGTTAGGCCTCCTTTAGGCATGGAAGCTGGCTGGGTGACTCTGGGCCTGTCACTCTCTCTCAGCCCAACCCACCTCACAGGGTGGTGGTTGTGGGGAAAACAGGAGGTGGGAGCATTAGGTATGCTCACTACCTTGAGTTATATATAAAAAAGGCGGGATAAAATAAAATAACAATAGCCCATTCCCTGTTGATGCCCCGATGACCTCTCCCCGTCTTTTCCTTGCCCTGAGGCCTGGAAGCGCTCAGCGTGAGCCCCGTGGCCGCCCTACACACCCAACCCTCCCGCTATAGGGAAGGCAGTGTAAGGTCCACGGGCAGTCCAGCTTCTGTGTGTGGAAAACGGGAGGGAGCCTCTTGCTATCTTTTCCTAAAAGAGCCACCAGCATCCAACTATCGGGGAACACTGAAAAGCTTTCTCATGGCTACAAGCCCGCCGGAACTGGGCCCGCCAATCGCCAACGGCGGCAGCTAGAACAAGCCGTCGTGCAAAGGAACCGCCAACGTCCCTCTCCCCGCCACTTACCATGGCTGTGCTGGCGATTCCCGTGACGGAAGGACACGTCCGTTCCTTCCTACCATCCTCGCTCCGCCCTTCCGCCTCCGGAGCGCATCTATCATCGCCCTCTCCGGCCCAAAGCTAGCTGGGAATTGTGGTCCACTTGGCCTTCTTGCGGGGGAGCCGCAAAGCCGTCGCGAGAACTACATCTCCCAGAAGCGCACCGCGTGCCCCTTCTCTTGCTGCCCTGAGCGCGGGATTTAGAAGGCGCGAAAGAGAGGCGACGGGAGATCCGGGTTGGTGAGGGAGACGCGGTTTGGTTCTCGCGCGGTGGACGGAGGGGCGTGTAAGTCAAAGGCGGTGGGAGCCCTGCTGGCGCGCTCAAGGGGAGAGGAAAGGCTCGGGGACGAGCGCGGGGCGAAGCTCTTCTGGCGGAGCCGGCCGTGCACAAAATCGAAAAAGGAGGGCTCGCTGCCAGGTGACGTGGTGGGTGTTACCGGTTTTATTATCGCTATCATTCCAGTTGGGTTTTTCTAATTGTGGACCCATCAAGTGTGGCGCGGGATGCTGGAGTTGCAAAATGGAGTCATTGAAGGGTCATTCATCAGCGAGGGGTCAAAGGCTCAACCCTGGGTGGGCGGCTAAGTACTTTTGATCAACACGGAAAGGCATTGACCCCAAGCCTGGATCCACCTGGGTGCCTCTCCACCTGCTTTCTTGTGCGGTGGGGCTTTGTGGCCCCGGAAGAATTGGCTTTCAGACTAGCGCAAGGCTTACCAGCGACAGAGAATCTAGGTTCTGCTTCCCAGTGTGATACCCCCTGCTAGTAGAAAAGTGAGGTCTCCTCCGTTTTCTTCAGATCCTACAGTCTTTGAGTTGTGGCTGACTCTGAATAATCGTCAGTAATTTTTCATGCCCCGAGATGATCTTATCCTTTGAAAGAGGTCTCCTTACAGCCTTTATTGAAAATAAATTATCTTAAATATGCCTGTGCTATCTGTAGCCATTCACTTGGCATGAGCTGACTGCAATTAAAGTTTTCATAATGCATCCCATTACAAATACTTAAAAGTTTTCTTGGGGGTAAAATTATTATAAATATGCACCTTGACTCCCAACAACTCTGGGCAGTTACAAATAAAAGCATTAAAAACAAGAAAAAATACAGTGATAGACAAAAATGAAGTTGGGAAGGGTGACCAAAAAAAAAGTATGGAACGAAAAAAAACAAACCCACGGAGTCCATAGGGGGAATGTAACTTCTTCCTAAAGTTTCTTGAAATGTCACTTGAGATAATTAATTGACCTATGTGATATTGATAAAAGATTGACTAATTAGTACACTGAGAAAAGAATATATCTTGCTCCACTACTACAGCACTAGACTTGCTTGTTATCATTTTAAAACGTATCTATTACTTTACTTTCTAGGTTTCTTCTCTGTTGCACCATCTCAAATTCACAGATCAACCAGTCAAGATGGGAATCCATGGTTTGGCCAAGCTGATCGCAGATATGGCTCCTAGTGCCATTCGAGAAAATGATATCAAGAGTTACTTTGGCCGGAAAGTGGCCATTGATGCCTCTATGAGTATTTACCAGTTCCTAATTGCTGTTCGACAGGGAGCTGACATGCTGCAGAATGAAGAAGGCGAGACTACAAGCCATCTGATGGGTATGTTCTACCGCACTATCCGCATGTTGGAAAATGGCATCAAGCCTGTCTATGTCTTTGATGGCAAACCCCCCCAGTTGAAAACAGGTGAATTGGCTAAGCGTACTGAGCGCCGAGCTGAAGCAGAAAAGCAGCTGCAACAGGCCAAAGAGATGGGTGAGGAGGAAAATGTAGAAAAATTCAGCAAAAGACTAGTTAAAGTGACAAAACAGCACAATGATGAGTGTAAGAAACTGCTGGCCTTGATGGGCATCCCATACATAGATGCCCCTGGTGAAGCTGAAGCTAGCTGCGCTGCACTGGTGAAAGGAAACAAGGTCTATGCAGCTGCTACTGAGGATATGGATTGTTTGACCTTTGGCAGCCCTGTGCTAATGCGACATCTTACAGCAAGTGAAGCAAAGAAACTGCCCATTCAGGAATTTCATCTGAACCGTATTCTCCAGGATTTGAGCTTGACCCAGAAAGAATTTGTGGACTTGTGTATATTACTAGGTTGTGATTACTGTGAAAGCATCCGTGGAATTGGACCCAAGCGTGCTGTGGAACTCATCAAGCAGCACAAAAACATAGAGAAGATTATTCAGCAACTAGATGCTAAGAAATATCCCCTGCCTGAGAACTGGCTGCACAAGGAGGCCCAAAAACTCTTCTTGGAGCCTGAAGTTGTAAACCCAGAAGAAGTGGAGTTGAAGTGGAATGAGCCTGATGAGGAAGGGCTTGTTAGCTTCTTATGTGGGGAGAAGCAATTCAATGAAGAAAGAATCCGTAATGGGATCAAGAGACTGAATAAGAGCCGACAGGGTAGCACCCAGGGTCGACTGGATGATTTTTTCAAAGTGACTGGCTCTATTACCTCAGCTAAGCGCAAGCAGCCAGAACCGAAGGGATCAGCCAAAAAAAAAGCCAAGAGTAGTGGTACAGCAACATCAAAATTTAAGAAAGGAAAATAAAGTTCTAGAATGGTGCTAATTATTCTGCACTTTTGCATGAGGACAAAATATATTAAACAGCAAAATCAGGATCTTTCTGTAACAAACAATTGCCTTAGGATACTCAAACAGTGAAACAATTGTTGGTAGCCCTTTAACACATACACAACTGCTGCATTCAAAAGATGTTTGGAACCTGCTAATCAGTGGTCCCCATATACTCTTGTTGAGGGACCCATAGCTTATTTCTCCTATCACCTTGAGTACTGTGAAATCTCAGCCATGCCATGTATGGTGTTTAATCTGTCATTGCTAACCAAACTGTGATGAAATGGCTTAATTGTCAATTGCAGATTTCAATAAATATTGGCGACTTGCTAAATGTGATAGATACTAAAATGGATTTTGTGAGATACAAATACAGGGTTAGTAGCAATATCTGTGGTACTGAGAAATTAGCTTTTACAGCTGCTGTTCAATAATCTGTTTGCTTCAGTACTTGTCAGATGGGATCGCTGCAGAGGTGATACATTTAGCTTCTCATCCTGCCTTGGTTTTGCAGTCTACTTTTGGCCAAAAAAGACTATTGTCTACGATGGCAGGAATTATTTCAAAAATTGACAGTCTCTGAGGATTTTAAAATAATAGTAATTAAAAAATGGCAGTAGTGATAATTTGGCAGTGGGTAAAAAACTTCAAAGAAGTCAGAACCTTAAGAGTGTTTCGTGTGCATTTTACAGTACAGTAGAAATTTCATGCTGGTCTTACATTTGATTTATAATGTTTAAACTGCATGATGGAAAAGGGGAATTATGTTTTAGAAAAAATAAGGAAACCATTTTAATTCTTTCAAAAGTATACAATAAATCTCCATTTTCATTACTGCATCTTGTTTTATATTATGCTTAAACTAAATGTAAGGAAATGTAAAATGTAATGGCTGTGTTACTTTAACCGGGTTTTTTGAAACATTCATGGGAGATACCTGCTTACAGTTCAAAAACAAAATTGTGAATTTACATTTCTCTTGATTGAAAAGAGGCTTGGATGGAGTTCAGATAAGAATCAGGAATGAGGGTTTCAGAATTAGATATTGGTTAAAACAAATTAGGATTTATTGTTCAAGGCATCGTTTTAAATTGAAGCTTGCCACTAAAACAATTGTGTGGATTATGTTCAGGTGTTAAAACAAACCAAAGTGAGGCAAAACAAATTCTATATTAATAGAGTGCATGAAATGGAAATTTTTTTGTTTCAAGTCCAAGACAAACCACAATGTACTACAAAACCATTTTGGGTTAGCTGTGATTCAGCATAAACAACCTGGACTCTTGGTTGTTCTGGGTTTCAGGGAAAGGAAGATGAGGAGAGGTCCTAGCATGATGTTATGGAGTGAAGAGGGCAAGATATGGTACCCTTTTTCTCATCTCAGCAGTTCTCAGTATATCATATCCCACCAACTTGCCCTCCCCCCCAGCCAATGCTGATGTCCCAGCACAGCTTGTCCCGCTAAGCTGCCTTAGGTGAAATCTTGTCATTTGTGGGGCAGCTCTACCACAGGTTTACCACTTCTGGAGAGGTTTCAGTCTGCCTTCAGTAGATCTTTGCTTCTCATAGCAGATACTGGAGAAAATCTTCAATCTCTTCTGATGCCCACACTGAAGCCTGTCATAATGCACGGTGTTTTGCGTTCCATGATCCCCCATTGCTCGCAAGACCTAGGAAGCTGTAACTGCATGAACTTCAACAATGTGCTTCTTTTGACACAGCTTCCATTGATGGAGCAAGTTGTGAGCATGTCCCTCTTGCCATTCCTTCAAAATACGTTCCAGGTCTAATACTAATTTTATTTCTGTACCCTTCTTCCTTCCAGAGAAGCCTAGTTTACAATGTAATAATGCCCTCCTTACACACACACACACACAAAATTGAAGTAAACTGCTGCTTCAAAACAAAAAACAAAAAAATCACTTTAAATAGTAGAAAGGCAAAGCAACAGGCAGTCTTAAAGACAGTCTGGTTCTGGATTAATAGTAGTTACTCCATAAATGCCTGGGTGAACACAGACATCTTTGAGTATTTTTCCCAGTTCATCTTAATAGCAAGTTGGATGGAAATAAAGGCAGTGACCTTTTAAATATCTGGAACCTAGCATATAGTCAGATTCTGAAATAAAAGAATAAGGGAATATTCAGAACGTTAAAAGGGAACTTCCTGTAGAGCAGGAATGATAACAGATTTGGCATGAAAATATATGATGTAACTAACATAAACGTGTGTGGATATTTCTAATTTAATTTTGACAGCAATATTCACAACCATATTTTAAAAGCAAAGGCATACAGACATCTATTCACCTTTAAAATGCTTATATATTGCAAGGCTTCAAGAAAACACCTGTAAGTAACATTTATTAGATTATTGGAGTTATAAATTTTATAACCTTGAAAAGTAGAATCAAGGATTCATTTAATTGATATAAATCAAATAATATTTAATGTATGATACACATAATAGATATAGATCTCTTCAGGAAAGTAGTATGCTATGTTCTTGATAGATTTTTATTGCAGTTGCCATTCAGCAGAAAACCAAGATATTTATACTCTTAACAGCCCCCACCCCCAAATTGCTGGATTAATAGGGTATTACTAGTATCCTTCTAATATGTTGATATATTTATTTATTTATTATTTATATATCAAATTTGTCACCACCCATCTTGTTAAAAACTGGGTGGTTTATAGAAAAGCTAAATATTAATTTACAATACAATAAAACAGCCCTAAATAAATAAGCATATTCCAAGGATATATCATGTAAATATAACTAGGTTACAAAAGGTATTAATTTATGTTACTAGTTACACTTGGTAAAATACTCATTCATAATTGCATTATTTGGAAATTAATGAATACCATGAAGAAAAACAGCACAAACCCTTCTTTGGTTTCAAAGGCTGAACTCCCACTTCAAACTGTAGAATACTGATGATTTTTCCTGTTGTATAAATAGCTGTGTAACACAATAATGTAGAAGAAATGGTCCATTAAGCTCAAAATTATATTGTTGGTATTTTATTCTGGAGTCAAAGGCATGATGAGTGACAGAAGTTCAGTGGAATTTAAGAAAAGTCTTAAAGCTCAGTTCTAGTTTGAGGTGTATCTTCATGATGATAATAAACATTCTCTGTAAAGTCAGCAGTTTATTTATACAAATAGGCATTCAACCAGATTTCTCCTGAATCCTTCAAGGTCCTGCAGTGATCAGAAGAAAAGGAGAATTAGTTAAAGATTATGCTTAACTAATGAACTATGAACTTCTGAACTATGAAGTCAGAAGACAGTAAACTACATATTCCCTACTCAATAATACTCCATGGGTACATATGGCAAAAATCTACAAAGGCTGTCAGCAGTGGCTTGTATCTGTATTCAGTACCATATTTGGCACAAAGAGACTTCACCAAGACTTGCCTTCCCTAAGTTGTGCTGTGGCATTCTGGGGAAGAAACTGAAAAGGAAAATATCCAAGTTGTCCTTCAAGCATGGCTGCTTGTAGATAGGGCACCCAGTATAGAAATGTTTGCCCCAAAACTCAGAGTTTACAGGGTGCTTCACACACAAACCAGGAAGCTCTGATTTCCTCTGAAATGCATCATTGCATAAAGGAAATCCTAGGATGCATAGCAAACATTTCTTTGAAGTCTTACTAATCAGTTTGGAAGTTTGAGTGCCCAGTGAACCAATCATTGAACCAATCATTGTATATGTTACAAGTAGTCTGGAACTGAAATGAAAATTAGGTGTTTAACCCTGCTGTGGTAGTTCCTTGATTAGGGTATTGTTTACTGTTTGATTGTATCTGTTGATAATCTTGCTGTTAATCTCTGCTTATCTGGGTGATGATTGCTGGTGAGATGTTCCAGTCTTTTGTTTTCCTTTCTATTGTCTCTTTTGAATAGCTTGTAGATGTTGTTTATCTCTATGTGCCAGTTGATGGCTGCCTTG